AGAGGCCCGGTGCATGAAATTCGTGCACTTGGGGTGGGTCCCTCAGCCCAGCCTGCGCCCTCTTGCAGTCCGGGAGCCCTTGGGGGATGTCCAACTGATGGCTCAGGCCTGCTCCCCACCATCAGTCGGACATCCTTAGCACTGCCGCAGAGGCGGGAGAGGGTCCCGCCACTGCCGCTTGCTCACCAGCTGTGAGCCCGACCTCTGACTGAGCAGTGCTTTCCCTGTGGGAGCGCACTGACCACTAGGGGGCAGCTCCTGCATTGAGCGTCTGCCCCCTTGTAGTCAGTGCACGTCATAGCAACTCGTCGTTCTGCTGTTCGGTCGATTTGCATATTAGCCTTTTATAATATAGCTTTTTATTATATCGTGTACTCGGGGACTGTGGGGGTCCCTCAGCCCAGAATGCGAGAGGGCACAGGCCAGGCCAAGGGACCCCACCAGTGGAGGATTGGGGCTGGGGAAGGACGCGGGAGGTTGGCCAGCTGGAGAGGGACCGCAGGAGGGCTCCAGAGCATGTCCAGCCCACACTCAGTCCTCCCAATTGGCTGGACCCCAGCAGCAAGCTAACCTACTGGTCAGAGCGTCTGCCCCCTGGTGGTCAGTGCACATCATAGCGACTGGTCAACCGGTCAACAGTCTACCCTCTCGTGGTCAGTGCATGTCATAGCGAGCGGTTGAGCAGCCTTAGCATATCATTAGCATATGACGCTTTGATTGGTTGTCCTGCCATTCAGTCTATTTGCATATTACCCTTTTATTATATAGGCTGTATATTTTATTGTTGATAGTATTACAGATGTCTCCCATTTCTATCCCTCCACTTTACTTCTCTCTGGTCTTTTGAACTAAAAAGCATCAGGCCCTGCCTAAGTTTGTCACTTCCCTGGGTCTAAGCAGCCATGTTATCGGCTACAGTGAGATTCTCTTCACTGCTGTGGATAATGCTCTATATTTGTGCAAAATTTAAGATGATTAAAAATTAAATGCCATTTCACAAAGCAAGTATTCCAAAACATCAAGCTAGTTAACCCAAAATAATGTGATAAGATCTTCCTTAAAGGGAAGGAAGTTGGGGCAAAGCCAGCCAACCAAAGCACATCAAAGCATTAAAGGAAACCATAACTCACCAAAGTGAGACTTCTGGAGCGAGAACTGCTACTTCGACTCTCCAAGCTGCCCCCTCTGCTCAGGTCACTGAGCCTGCAGCTGGGTGACAAATCAGAGTCCATCTCTGAAGAGTCTGATTTCTGGCGGTTTACTGGCATCCCCACATAAATGTCGGCCAGTGGCTTGATCACAAGAAGAGGGGAAAGGGCCAGTGTTCCATTCTGAAGTCGTGGATCACTTCTAGAGAAACCAAGCACAAGCAACAAGGGTTAGTTAGCCTAAGGAGCAAATGCCTTATCCTCCAAATGAAAAGCTCAGCATGAGTATGAGTCATCTAGACTTAGGGCCTCAACCATTAAGGCAAAGATAATTAGGAACCCCTAAGTCAACTAGTTTGGTGATGCTCATTTTCATTTCTCCTTTATATCCTTCTCCATTATCAAGATGTAAGAATTATTTTTAAGGAAAGACAGATGTACTAAAAATTGCTTTGGTGCAGATGATTTGATAGAATAATGTGCTGGCACCTTCCTCTGCACTTAGGCTCTGTACTTTCATGCTCAGAGTCAAGTTCTCTCTGTGTGGCTTATTAATTCCAGTCTTTTCTGCTTCAGACACCACAAAAACTATAGCTCCTTTTCCAGTTTCACGACAGTTTAGAGTTTAGTTGAAGTGACAAGAGTTATAAATTACTAATACAAGTTTGGTTGACATCCCCAAGATTCTAGACTCTTTGGAAGCCATATGCTATTTTAATTTCTACATAAAATATTGAGGTTCCATAATTTAATACTATCAGGAAGTTCATGTTTTTACTTTCAGGAAGAAAGACACTGAAACTGTCCCCTATAAGCCCCTCAATTTCATACAGTTCACTGACTCTTTTTTAAAAATTTAATATATTGGGTAACATCTATCTACATAAAAGCCTAAGCGACCATCGCAACCAAACGGACAACTAAACAGGCTGCGTGGGGCAACCAGGCTGGCTGGGGGGTTAGTGAGGGACGACCAAATGATCAAGCAGCAGGCTATGTGGGGCAACCGGGCTGGCAGGGGGGTTAGTGAGGGATGACCAAATGATCAAGCAGCAGGCTGTGTGGGGCGACCCGGCTGGCTGGGGGGTTAGTGAGGGGCGACCAAATGACCGAGCAGCAGGCTACGTGGGGCAACATGGCCGGCAGGGGGGTTAGTGAGAGACGACCAAACAAATGAGCAGTAGCCTGCATGGGGTGACCCGGCCAGCAGGGGGGTTATGTGGGGCGACCAAACGACTGAGCAGAAGGCTGCGTGGGACAACCAGGCCGGTAGGGGGGGGCAGATGGGGACAACAAGGCCGGTGG